CATAGCAACGGCTTGGCCCCGCCTCTTAAAGAGGCAGCAACCCCACTTTTAAGGAGGGGGGGGAGGTACGGGACATGGACCCCCACGGGCCGTGGAGGGAAAGGACCAAACATGCAAAAATCCAATCAAGTCTTTTATTTTGGGGGGCTCCGGTCCCCAGTACAGCAGCACTCCCCCACATCCCACCAGTGTATTCCCACAGCCCCATCCCAGTGTGTGTGCGTGGGGAGGGGGGGGCTCTGGCACCAAGCATGGGGTCCCTTGCCTGGAGGTAGTATTGGGGCCCCCCCCTTGCTGGTTCCATCCTAGCCCCCTCCCAAAAGGAGATGCACAGCACTGGGGGCTTCAGGAAAAGGGGGGGGGGGCTCCCTGAGTGCTGAAGGAGGGGGGGGAGAAATTGGGAGCTCCCAGAAAAACGTGGGGGAGGAGACAATTAAAAAAAGCCCTTGGTGCCAGCCCTGTAGCCCCAGCAGTGGGGTGGGGGAGCTACAGACCCCCAGAAAGGGGATCGAGGTGCTTCTACATGACAGCTGGTGACCCCCAAGTCTGGGGGAGCAAAGGCAGGATCACTTACAGGGTGCCCATGGCAGTGTTGGGGGGTGTCCACTCTTCCCCCCCCCATCCTCAAACCTGCACCCCAGGAGGGAGATTCACAGCAAAACAAACTATAAAGTCTCAGGTCCCCCTGCTCCCGAGCGGCACCCGGCCCCACGGAAAGGGGGGGTGCCTGGGGAGAAGGTGGGGGCCTAGGTGGGTTTGTAGAGGTCCTTGCGCCTCCGCACCTCCTTGAGGACGCGGGCGCGGAAGGCGTCGGGGTGCTCCCCCCCGTCCCGCCGCAGCCCCAGCACTGCCTGCAGCTCCGGCCGGTGGGTCCGCAGGAAGGGGTTGTAGGTCTGCTCCTCACCCAGCGTGGAGGGACACTGCGGGGGGGCAGCTGCTCAGCAACCCCCCCGCCGGAGGGACCACCTCCAGCGGGGAGCCACGACCCCCCCACCTCTTCCCCTGGTGGCACCCTCTTCCCCTACAGCACCCACCGTGCAAGAGGGTGTCGGGGGGTAGCATCCCTGCCGAGAGAGGGGGAACCCCGTGAGGGGCTGGGGTGGGGGTGGGCTGCATCCTGGGGACCACCCCCCCCGGCCCAGGCCTCACCGTGCTCCTCTTCTCCTGCCGCTGCTGCGTCGCCCACTGCAGCTTCTGCTCCAGCGCGGGGTTGTCCAGCTCCAGGAGGCTGGCAAAGGTCAGGCACTCCAGCGCATACTCATGGCCTGAGGACCCCCACACTTCTTAGCATTGCCCCCCACCCCGTTTTGGCAGCAGGAGCTGGGGGGTGGACACCAGCAGCTCTGCTCCACTGTTGGGGACACTCACCTGGCCACAGCAGCGTGTCCTCGCCCAAGCCCACGGCCACATCCAAGGAGGCGAGCATGGTCTCAGGGGAGCCCTCAAACAGCCTGCCTGCACTCCCACAAAACAGTCATGTGTTGGGGGGGGGAGGAACTGGGGGTCCCCCCAGCCCAGGTCTGGGGTTGGGCGCACTCACCACAGCCAGCGAGGAAGAGGAGGTCCCCGGAGAAGAGGCATGGGGGGGCACCGAAGGGCTCCCCGTCCAGCACGTACACCATATGGCCCACGGTGTGGCCAGGGGTGGCGAGCGCCTCAAAGGTCAGGCAGCCCACCTTCACCTTCTCCTTGTCTTCAAGCGGGCTGTGCCAGGCACAGGGGGTGCACCATCAGGGTATCCCCCCTGCCCAGCACCTCAAAACACCCACCTCCCCACACAACCCTTCCCCGGGGCACTAGTGTCATGAGCATGTCAGGTCTCTTCCCATGAGGGGGGCAATGTGGTCCTTGGAGGATGGACTGGGAGGTGGGTGGAGCAGAGAGCGGTGGTTGGGGGTGAAGCCCCCCACCCCTCTCAACATTACAGGGGTGCTCAGGGGGGATGTGGGGCGCTAGACTTACTTGGTGAGCTCTGGAATGGCATCGAGGGTGCTGCCGTACACCTTGCAGGAGCTATGCTGCTGCCGGAGCGCCGCGTTCCCCCCACTGTGGTCCCTGTGGAGAAGGAGGTCAGCACCCCTAAATGTGTCCCCCACCATGTGGAGTAGGGCTGGGGGTCGCTCCAGCTGGGGCACCCTCCATGGCAGCCACCGACCTCCCCCTCAGGACCCCTTCTTGTCCCTTACCAGTGTTTGTGGGTGCAGAATATGGCCTCCAGCATCACGCCCTCTTCTTCAATGGCAGCCTGGGAATAGTGTGGGGGGGGAACAACAGAGACATTTGAGGGGGACACAAACTCTGAGGAATAGTCTCCCCCTAATCCCCCTTCCCCAGCTCCCCAGGCCCTGGACGAGCCCTGCCACCCTCCAACTTTGCCTTGGGCACACTAAGGGTTGCAGATTAGGGGCAGAATTGCCCCCTTCCACCCTCAAAAAAGCCAGAGACATGGCACCCCCTCACCCAGGGGACACCCAAACACCAGGGCTGGGGGGGGCTGGTCTCACCTGCACGGCCAGCGGGTCAGAGGGGTCAACGACGGCTGCCTGGCCAGAGCCAGTGTCAATGACCAGGTAGCTGTAGTTGTTGGAGAGCACAGGAATGGGCAGGATTTTCACCCCTGAGGGGGGACAGACAGACAGAGATCAGGCCATGACCCCCCCCACCTGGAGTCCAAACTCCTCATAACTTAAATGAAATTCAGGGTTAAACATGCTTTGGGACATTTGGTGATGGCAACCCCTCCCCACCCCAAAGCAACCAGTGTTGGGGGACATGATGGGGGCCACAGCGAAGGGTGTGGGGGTGGTGTCTCTCCAGGACTCACCGGGGAAGTGGCAGGGCTGGGGCACGGAGTGGCCGAGCGGGTACCGCTCCCGGGCCTTCTTCACTTGGCGCTGGTAGAAGAGGTAGCCCAACCGCGTGCGGGCGTACAGGCTGTACCTGGGGAGGGCAGACACCCCCCGGCGTTAAACCCTACCCCCCCTCCAAGGAGCCCCCTTGGGGAGGGGGCTTCAAACCAGGGCCAGGATCCCCACAGGGAACACACACAGAGTCACTTTCCCACACGTGGGGGCTGGAGGTGGCATGTCCCCCTCCTTCCCCTGCCCCAGATCTGCAGCAAGGGCAGAATCGGTTCCCCAGGCGGCCCCCCCTCAGCTGCTGTGGGCGGCAAGGACAGAGTTGGGGGGGGGAACATCACTGTGGGGGTGTCCATCTGTCCATCCATCTGTCCAGGCAGGCTCTGCTCATGGGGAAGGGTTGGAGCCCCAGAGCTTTGCCCGCAGCAGCACTCGAGCTGCCAGTTGTCCCCTGGCTGTCCCCCCCCCCACCCTGGGGGGGCCATGCCCAGGGCTGACCCCACTCTGGGAGCCTGCCCTGGGTGCTACAGCCCCAGAGGAGAGGGAAGCGGGAGCAGAACGGGCTGAGGAAAAGGGAAATGAGAAATGCCCACGCAGCATGTGGGGCCTGCCCTGGGTGCTACAGCCCCAGAGGAGAGGGAAGCGGGAGCAGAACGGGCTGAGGAAAAGGGAAGCGAGAAATGCTCACGCAGCATGTCCATGCAGGGGTGCAACAAACGCAGGCTGGGAGGCTCGGGGAGACACCACCACCCCCCCCCCCAAATTATACAGCAGCGTTTTGGGGGTGGGGATGAGGATCAGGGCCATGAAGGACGTGCAAAGCCCCGGCTTGCGAAGCCCATCGCCGGGCCACGGGCATCCCCCTGGATGGGGGCATCCCCCCGGATGGGTACATCCCCCCGGATGGCGGTAGGAGCCCGCTGCCCCCTCCATCGCTGGGGAGCCCGAAGCCAGGGGTCGGGGGGGCTCCTGCCAGCACCGGGCAGCAGCACCTCGGACCGGGCAGCGGGATGGGTTAACGATCAGATCCGAAGGAAGGAGACCCGGGGTGGGGAAGGGGGGTGAGATCCGAGGGCGACCGTCACCGCTCCGGGGTAGCCGAGCAATCCCCCCGGGAAGCCGGGCTGACATCGCCTGCCCTCCCCCTCGCCAGCCCCGGTCGGTCGAGCACCCGTGGCCCCGCGGTCCCTCCCCGGTGGGCTCCGCACAAGCAGGGGCGGACAGGCCCTTCCCTCCGGGAGGGAGGCAGAACAAAAGGCGGACGGCGATGGCTCCCCTCCCGGTGGTGAGGGTGGCGGTGGCGGGGATTACCGGCGCGGCGGGACGCACTCACCCCAGGCGGAACAGCAACGGGCCGGCCAGGGCCATGAGGGCGGCGGCGGCGCGGCGGGCCAGGCGGCGGAGGAGGGGCTGGCAGCGGCGCAGGCAGGCGGCCCCCAGC